TACGTCTGCGACTGTTCTAATAAATTACATTACTAACAAGTGTGAATAAAATCCCTAGTTATAGAGGAATTATCTTGAATGTTTCCTTAATCTGAAACGAAAAATGCGACCCATGTGCAAAAAAAATAGAGCAACTTTATCTTAAAAAGTTCTGCGCGAATACATCTTTTTCTCGGTCCTTACATGCTTTTCTGTATTTATCACTCAAGTTTATTGTGTACCTCTCTTTTATCTAATTTGTGAAGTATTCCTGTTTGAATACTAACATTTGAATTTGTTTAACTGATTTTTAAAGTACATGTATATTTTGATCAATGCGTGGGAAAATGAAGAACTGTGAACAATTGTCGAGTAATTTATTTCGACAACGCGAAAACTTTTAAAAAGGGAAAAAAGGAACTCGAACATTTCTCTAAACTATTGTCGAATGAGAAATTCCAAGATTTTCTGTCGAATGAAAGAATCAGTTGGAAGTTTATAATAGAACGAGGGGCTTGGTGGGGATGCTTCTACGAGAGATTAGTAAAATCAGTAAAAGAGTGCTTAAGAAAAATTCTCTGTAAAGCTTTACTAACGTTCGAAGAATTGTCAACGGTTGTAGCACAAGTGGAAGTTGTTTTGAATTCTCGTCCTTGGACATATGTATACAATGAGCACAAGGAACCTTTGCCAACTGAAGCCAGCCAATTTTTTGATTTTTGGAAACAAAGATTCTACATTACCTATCAACTTTAATTCCATTGTTAATGATGGCTCTACCAAGTCCTCTCTGACCAAAAGAAAAATGTATCAAGATTTATTGGTTAGGCAATTGTGGACTAAATGGAAAAAACAATATTTGATGGATCTTCGGACAGCTCATCACCTAAAAAAATCCTAACGATGATCTAAAAAGTTGATGATCTTGTTATTAATTGAAGGCAACAATAAGTGCAAACTTTTGTGGAACTGTGGCAGAGGTGATAAACGTTTTTTGTGGTCGTGACAACAAAGTTCGTTCTTGTAAACTAAAAACTGCTGATGGAACAAGTTAATAAAACGACACGGTTCAATTAGTATATCCTTTAGAACTTTAAAAAAATTTTTTTTATTGTTTAATAATATGAATAAGACTGAATATGTTTTCATGCAATTGTTTATTTTGCTAAGTTTAGTTTCATATGATTAGATTAAGAATAGTTTAAATTTATTGAAGTAGTGTCAAATTATATTTGATGATCATATGTTCTGATGACCTTTTTTAGAATTTGGTATAAGTGATTATAATTTGAATATATTTTCTGTTCATTTAATATACTTATCAATTCTTTTATAATTTATAATTATATGTTAAAATACTTATTGATATAAATTTGATTGTTGCTAGATTAATGTGAACTCTTCACAGAGTTCAGGTGGGGAGTGTGTGGAAATTACTTTGATTAATTGATAAATGGCTCTAGCGTTGCGTGTGAACGCGACGCGACGTGCCTTCTGAATTTCCATAGACGTACCACCGGCAGTTCGATTGATGGATGTTTGATGCTTCGCACACTATTTGATTAGGAAGACTATTTAAAAGATTTCGATTATGAAAGCATATAGATTTGTTTGTCAACTGAGCCCCCATGTTTTGATCAATGATCTGTAAATATTGTACATATTAAAAGTTAGATTTTAAAAGTGATTGATGTCGATTTATAGATATTAGAATATTTTGAAACAAATGCCGTGGTGGTGAAGAACTCCCAACTCCCTTTTAAACAACGTACTCTTAGAAGCACTCGTGGATATCGGAGCTCAAGGGGTCGATCTTCATTTCTTTAAGTATTTGCTTGTTCCGAACATTGAGGGTTTAAAATCATTCTTAGTAATTTATTTTGAAAAGCTTTTACTTTTTTACGATAGGTTTTAGCAACAGTGCTCCAGGCAGGAGTACCGTATAGTAAAATGTGTCGAATCATAGTGAGATATAGCATGCGTTTTGTTCTTATGTGAAGTTTCGAGTTTATTCGTAGGAGAGGATAAAGGGCAATAACCTCTGCGTTAGCTTTACCGTTTCGTAGTTTGTTTTTAAAGTCATAGTTGGATTTCCCCTGCGTTAGCATTCATAGTTTGTTCTTTAAACAATTTTTGTTCATCAAAGAGCACACCTAGGTATTTAATGGATCTGTTAACTAGTATTTGCACATTATTAATCTGAATATGAATGTCCACAGGAGTGTTCTTTTTACATCTTCTAAGAATAGTGACATTACACTTATTTGAGTTTAATTTAATTCTCCAGATCTTGAAACAATGACCAGTGATGTTAACTGCGAATTTTATTTTGCAAATAGCGAATTGCGGTTTTTAAGGCTTCGTAAGAACGACAATATCATCGGCATAATTAGCGATTTTTACATTTAATGGCTGCGGCATGTCATTTATAAAGTTGTTAAACAGGATCGGCGCTAAAATGCTTCCTTGGAGGACGTCACTTTTAATGATCTTCCTATTGGAGAGAGATTTTCTAGTTCCAACTTTAAATGTAGGATTTTTTTAAATAGGAGTATATTAATTTGATGAGATTGATTGGGAGAAGTGCTTTTTGCATTTTCAAGAGAAGGCCGCTATGCCATACTCTGACGAATACCTTTTATATGTCTAAAAAGAATGCTGCAGCAGTATTTTTATTAATAAAAGAGTGAGCAATAAAGTCAGTCACATTCATGAGCTGTGGTCTATGTCCTCGACGTAATCCATATTGTTTGGAGTCGATTATATTATTCTTTTCTAGGTGATTAATTAGTCCAATTTGAACCATTTTTTTCGAAAATTTTACCGTTGCCGGGAGGCAGGCTTATTGGGGGTAATTGATGGTTTCTTTTGGATTTTTACCTGATTTTGTGACTATTCTAATTTTCGCATAAATATCTAGTTTGCTATACTTATACTGATCTCAGAACTTAAACTGCAACGCGGCTTCGATTCTTGTCAATTTTTGATGAAATCGCAATTCCAGCCAAAACTTTATGATGAACTCCAATATTTCATTGCTTAAAAATGTTTGATTAACTGAAGTTAATTATACTTTAATTATTATTTTATCTAATTTATTTTGTTTACCCTTCCTAACGGCCATTAACCAGGTTCCGGCCTTTCTAATTTTAGAAACCAACCTCTGACTACACCACATACAGCGACCCAGGCATATAAAACAGGTCTCCAAATATATACGCATAATTTTAGCTAAAATATGAGTACAATTTAGATGAAGGGTATAGCATTTTTCGCAAGTTAATTTTACAAAAATTATACGAATAAAAAATGCTAAAAATATTTTCGACCTTTTATCGTATTTACGAAATGTTTTTTTACGAAAGTCATACGAATCCACATGTACCGAAAAAATAAAAATTACCGACGTTATTCATTCGTTATTTCATTCAGTACTACATTCACTCATTCAACTACATTCCAAGAATGCTAAAAAAAGCCTTGAAATATTGTAATGACCAATGCAAATATTCTGAGCAAAAACAGCACAGCAATTTCAATTATGTATCGCTTACTGAAAAATTACAAAGCAAAAAGTACAATACAGGTTCATTTACAATAGAAATAACCATCATATGCATGAGAGCAAGCAGACTATAGGGCATTGAAGAAAATCTTCAGCGTTTCACTGCCAAACAGCAATACATATGATAGATACAGTAGACGCCGCCTAATGGGATCCCGAATAATTTCTATTATTCGAATTTTGTTATGGAATTACCTGTTTTTATATATGCCCGTTTTTAAGTTCCGCCCATTTTTATATAAAAACATCGAAAATACTTCGCTTAATGTGATCAACAATTATGTTAATAATAAGGTCGCCAAATAAATTTGCGTAAAGTCGCCAAATTAGATCAAAATAGATTATAAAAATTGGGCTATTGACAAAGAAATTCGTGATGGATTAAGTTACAGCTCGGTTTCCATCTCAATCAACTATTTAAAATTAAGCAAAGAAAGTAACTTTAGTTTGGCGCTGATTTTGAATAACTTTTTTGAATTTGAGGGTAGTGAGATACAAGTCTCTTATCTTCAGATGCTAAAAAAAAAAACCTCTGTACAGAATTGCCATTGCTGCTGAAAAAAAAAAAAAAAAAAAAAAAAAAAAAAAAAAGAAATCTATGAAAACTTCTATTAAGATTGCCTTTTTGTGTAATTTTTAGTTTTATATTGGCATGTTTAGTTTTATATTGGCATGTTTAGTTTTATATTGGCATGTTTTAGTTTTATATTGGCAACGAGAGATTCCCTCCAAATATTAAGATCACTGATAGAGCCTCCATCGACGAAATAATTTCCAAAAACGTCATGAACAGGTCATAAATGAACTTCTGCGTTAAAGACATCGTGAATAGTTCCCAAAGAAATTTTTGCTGGTTCCTAAATGAAATACCTATTTACATACTTATGGATATATTTATATTAAATTATTTAAATTCCATTGCTATTTTGATGGGCACTCTTTACTTATCGTCTAATGTAAGCATTCGGTTAATATTATCAAAATAGTCGTGACCACATTAAACGGCGCCTACTGTACTGAGATTCCAAAAAATGCAGAACATAGTATTAAGAGCTTAACGAAATTTCTATGAGCTTTTCCAGATTTTCAGTTCAACTCACCATTGTAGTATTTATGGCATAAAATTTCTACTTCACCTATGAAGAATGAAAACAGCATACTGTGGTGGCGGTTTGTGAAAATCCTTAAGACTATCGCTTCATAAATTATAAACTAATAATATTTACTGATATGTACCATCTGAAGAGTTAAATCTGTTGAGGAAAATCTCGACTAAATTAACATATATTTGTCGAATAAATTTGTGCACCAATCAGCTTAGTGAATACTTTGGAATTGCGCATGCTCAGAGAATCTCTATTTAAAACTGCCTAACAGACTTATTTGGAAATTGATATCATGCAAAAATGGCACTTCTCAGAAGAGAAACTTGAAAAGGATGCATAAAGAATCTTACCAGCAACCAGAAAAGGAACGACGACTAAGAATATCCAGGCCATAATTGTACAAAACCAAACTTAGCTTTCTCCAATATGCGCTTGTAGGCGATTTCTGTGGCTTCCTTTCAAAAGACAAAATGGTATTCCTTCACCCGAAAATTGTTACATTCGCTCTTTGTAGGGCGACCTTGTTGTCGGAAGGTTTTGGAAAGGTTATTATCAAAGAGTATCCGTCATCCATCGGAAGTCCTTCCTCTATTAAGGAATTACTTATGATTATCTATATAAGGCACCGTCTCTCAAGGTCGAGTTTAACGATTGTTTTTTGTGTAACTTTTCTTGTTTTCAAATAGATTTCCCGTCAAACGGATTAATGATTTCCGATTTTAATGATTTCCTGTCAGCTACGCTTTATTGGCTAGTGCTCAAACAAACAATTAATAGACAGCTCTAATTTGTTTATTCAGCTAAAAAATAAATAAAACCATACGATTTTTTGAATTCAAAAATATAATTTGGGCTCTCATTTTCCATAATTAGCAGAAGTTATTTCGGTAACTCAAAGGGAAACAGGCAGGATGAAGCTATTACAATGCTTTACAATACTACAGGAACTTAGCAATTCTGTAAAAAAGGACAGTAATGAGATTGAAAAATTTCTGTATTTTTTTCAGAATTTCTGCAAGTTTTAAGGAAAAAATTGCTTTTTAAATAATCCACATTTATGATATTAAGATCCACATTGTATTCATTAAAAGAAATCTTTACGTTGCTTTTCTTTTATGTTCAGCCCCAATTTTCGCTGCGTCATTTTGAACTTGCCTTAACGGTCGTGTGTATTTAATTATGGTAAAGCACACTAGGGCTATCTGCCTACGGGGAGGGATGCCTTCGTGGAGGACTTTTTTAAGGGAAACTGGCTCGTATATACGTTACACATGGGGAAAACCACGAAAAAACCCATGCAGCCAGCCCGTTCGCGGAATTCGAACCTCGGACCCGAACTACCAGTGTTCAGCGACTTTACCGCTCGGCCGCTGGTGGGCGCCTTAACGGTCGATTAATTAAGTTAGAATAATTCGAGGAAATAAGTTTAAGTGAGGTGCAGCAACAAAAATGTGTTTAATTTAATAGGTCGTACAAGGAAGTCATACTGTGTCCATATCAGAATTTTTGTTATTCGTTTTCATACAAATATAAAAACACTGTTTTTTATATTTTTGCGAGATAACCTACTTTTCTTATTGAATCAAATATTCTAAATTTTCGGTTCCTTGAAGTTAGTTGCAGCGGGGTTCGATTGTACGTTTTTGCTCCACGCACCCCTTTCGCCATTGCTAGACTATCATTACCCCTCTCTATTTCCAAACTCGAAGAATGGGTATACATTTATTTAAAATTTATATAATTTTAATGTGTTTTATAAATTAAATACGAAAAAGTAGAAAAATATTAATAAATACCAAAGCTTGAGTAAAGGTAGTTTTTTATATTCATAAACTAAAACTAAATACTTAAAGGTAATGTGTATTTAATTATGGCAAAGCACACTAGGGCTATCTGCCTAAGAGGAGGGATGCCTTTCGTGGAGGACTTTCTAAGGGAAACTGGCTCGTATACACGTTACACATGGGGAAAACCACGAAAACGCCCATGCAGCCAGCCCGTTCGCGGGATTCGAACCTCGGACCGAACTACCAGTGTTCAGCGACTTTACCGCTCGGCCGCTGGTGGGCACACTTAAAGGTAAATAAACGGCTGAACACATTTCCCTCCCCGGATTCCTGAAACTATGAAAATCCTACAGGGAGGAATCCTCACCTAGTTAAGAACCCCTGGTATATGCAGATCTCACAGACGAAAATTCACGGAAGAAGAAAGTCATTCGACTAATATTTAATATATTGCATATTTTGGTATGAATTTCCTAAATTTTTATAATCTTGCTAAGTATATAAAAACAAATAAGAACTAAAACAAGGATCTTCTTTGTTCAATTAAATTTTTATTCAATAATCTTACAACAGACTGCACTTTCATTTAAATGACACATGAATAGTTCTGTTTATTTCGTTTGCTTTAAAACATAAGCATTCTTTAGCAGGGGCGAATGAAATGCTCTAAAGCTGAAATGACTGGCTACAATTGACTATACCTAGTTCTTTCGCAGATTTCACAGCAAAATAATCCCTTTCGATAGATTCTTTTGGAACACTTAAATTAAATAAAATGTTCTCGTTGAATTCTTGGACTTCTAGTTCAGTTTCAGGACGAAAATTGGAGTTAGGAGTAAAGTTGCTTTCAAGGTGCTGAGCTAAGACTTCTACCATTTTCTGTTCAGAATATACGAATCCACTAGGTGGAATTGAGAGGGCCGATGTGATCCGCAAATGGATTTTAAAGAGCTCTGTCATTTTCCAAAAAATGGTAAGTTCCTATTCCATGCTATCTCGGAGTGCTTCCCATTTGCTTGATCTATAATCACTGAGTAATTTAGAAATTTCTCGAACTTTTTGTTTAAGGATTTTTTTTTAATCTGGGGTCTCCAGTATTTCTCTATCGTTTTGCCAATTTATTTTTATCTCTGATTTTTTTTCCTAGAATATAATCTGGAAGTGAATTTTTAGAGCGATCTTCTTTAATGGTAGTAGCTTCTCGTAGAGAATTTTGAATTCTGGAATTGATTTTATGGATTTCATTTTCGATATAAAAAATGTTAGCAAGATTAGGGTGAGCATTTGGGATTTCAATAATAGTATTAAATTTCTCCCAGTTAACAATACGTTTGAAATTTTGTTCATTTTGTTCAAAGCCATTTAGAATGAATTTAAGGGGTAAATAATCAGATGGCATTTCCTGTAGGACTTCAAGGTAAGGAGTTTTAACAATATTTCTAGTGCTAACAATGTCGAGAACTTCCGAAGAGCCTATGTAGTGAAATCTAGTTCCAAGTACTTTAAGATTATTGTGAAGAACATAATTATCGAGGACAATGCCGTTATTATTGGTTCTACATGAATTCCAAGATGGATGTTTAGAATTTAGATCTCCAGCAATAAATAACGGAAGATCTGTATTAGTTAAGCAGTCCAGGTCTCTGTCGGTAATTTGGCTTCTTGGAGCATTATAAGCGGAGATAAATAAATAAGGATCACCAGTTCTGCTATAAATGATAACCGAGGTGTGCTCAATGCACGTATTTCTAGACGTCTCATGTAAAATTGATTTGGGATGATTTTTAAGCATAATGAGAGTACCTCCTTCTCTGTTATGTAGACGATCGTTGCGATATATTTTATATCCAGCAGTTTTAAAACGATCACAGCGGCGTAAATGAGTTTCATTAATAAGCATTGTGTCAGTATTATGTTTATTTAAAAAAATGCGGCAATTCAGTCTCTTGACGTTTAATGTTATTTGCATTAAAGTAGGCCATATTTAAACTACATATAGTAGTGTTTGTTATATGTAAAGTTCTTTGCAGAATTTTATGGGCCATATTGCGTGTTCATTAATAGGTCAAATGCTTCCATCCCAATCTGGATTTTGTCCAAAATGGATTTTGATTTCTTATATCTTTCAAAAAGGGTTTTAGCACTTTGAAAGGTATTTTTAATCCAAGAAATGAATGACTGTAAGTTATCTTTGATGAAACTACTTTCTGACTATTGAGTCTTTGGAGATTTTTCTGTTTCCTTTCGAGGGAAAAACGGAAAGTTTTCTTCATTATTCTGTGGCGGTGGTGGGTTTCTCTGAGTGTTGGTGTTTTCGCGTATATTTTCGGGGTATTTCCCACACCCGAGATAGGACGCAAAGTGGGCTTCTTCACATAAACAACACTTACCGGGAAGTTTTTTTGTCTTTCTGATAAATTGATGTTTCGTGTCTTTCACCACATTTTAAACAGCGAGTTTTATGATTGCGGTGCGAATTACTATGTCCATATCCTTGGCAGTTACGACACTGCTTTGGTCCTAGTATTGGGTTAAATTGTTCAACGAATATAAGCAAGTTCCGTGAGATGGGTTAAATTAAACATTTTTTGCATTTTTCACTTCGAGTTACCTCCACTGGAAATAGCGGTAAAGGTTTAATTACCTCATCTAGTTTCCTAGTAATTTGTTTTAATGAATTCAGACGTATATCTTTTTCTATTACGGCTTATCAGTTTCAGCAACTGAAGTGCGAATCGGAAATTTTTTTATTACTGCAAGAATAGATTTATCTTGTGCTAGAGGGAAGGTATGGTGAGAGCGTTGACGCTCGTCTAGTAGAGCAATAACTTCACAATAGTCATCAGGAGTTAAAAACTTTGATGTGAAGATCTCCACCTTTCAAATCTCCTTCAATTTTTTTTAACTCCGTGCATAAGTATATCATCTCTGATCAGTGTTCAGTGATCGACGTTGACGACAATTATAGGGAAAATTCCCTGCCTTTTTACGCTATGTAATAAATTCAGTATTTTGTTTTTCATTGGTGTTACTAACTTCCATTTCATCGTTATCAGATAGAGTAAGTACTAAACTTAATTTGATGGGCATAATCACGGTCTGAAGTTTCACTTATAGTTAGTTTATGAGTTTTTCGAGGGTTAATTCCACTTCGTTCCAGATTTTTTAACTGGGACTGTTTTTGCCGTAGACGCTTTTCGTTTTTCTGATTCGTTAGTTTTAGCTGTTTCCTGATTAGCGCATTGGGTAAGTTTAATGTCAATACTTTTAATGAGGTTTTGAGATCGTACAGCTAAATATTCAGTATGTGAGGATTATTATTCCTAAAAGGATTTACTATATTTAAGAAAAGTCCATTCTTAATTTGATGGAGTTCCCCTAAATCAGTAGAATCGTATTTAACGCAAGATTTTGCCTGAAAATATCAATCGTAGCATTCGGACCCAAGTTCTTTTCCGTATCCATCATCAAAGAAGCCTATAGCATATTGTTAAGTACGGTATGGAGGCATAATGATTTGGATATGTTTTGCTGTTTGATGGGAAATAATGTTTTTATAGAAAATAATATGGATCAGCATAAATCTATAAATTTTCTTAATGAAAACTTGAAACCGTATACTAGAAAACTTGAAATGCAAATATATTAAGTTCTACCAGGATTACCAACCTAAATGTACAGCCTTAAA